AAATCATTCTATATTTTAAGCATTATATATATAACACACATTTTAACCTAATAAACGTGTCATAGCAGTGACTACGCTCTCAGAATTAACTTGTGAAATGTGCAATTATCAGGATTATTTCTCTTATTAACACCGTATCTACTCACAGAACGAATAACCATTGTTAAAAACAAATGTATTTACTAAAAAATAATAACGAATTAACTAAAAAAATCCACTGATGAGCTCATTCCTTGCGTGCCGACTTGTGACGATTTGTTATTCAATATCAGTCACAGAGTTATGAGATTTGTTTTCCTTTTCTATCCTGCTATATTGCCGTATGAAGTTTTCCTAAGAATCTTAAGTTTATGATATTAAATCCAGGCTTTTTATTTCTTACTTATCGTGCACATAAGCAAGCTATAGAGCACGCGTATCGCTCATTGCCCATCATGCCAAGCATAAGCAGTTATTCTATCGATACTACATACTAAATGAAACGGTTGAATAGTGATGCGCCATGATTGACAACTATGCGTTATTCTACTTAAGTTATAAGTTTAAATTAGGTAAGTATTTAGTAAATAAAATGCAAGTGGGTAATTATAAGGTAGGTTTAAGCCATAGAGCATCACCAGCCATCGGCGAACCTAAGGGGAGTAGCCATACGCAGGCGTTTCCCTTTGTCAAAGTATAAAACTAGTTGCAACCACACTGCTCATTATACTAAATTAGGTTGCGCGGCTTAATCGACGTCCAACAAAATGCTGAATTGTTCAGTTTTTTTGCTGCAAAATGGAATCTACTAAGTTGAATTTACAAAAAGATGCGGCTACTTGCAATATATAAGTATTTTTTAATTACATTATTACTAGTTCTTTTTAAACTTAATAATTACAATAATAAGATATGAGTTGTACCACAGTATAATAAAGACATATAGATTTATGGGTCAGGACCAAATTTTTGACGCATACAGACATACTGTAGTGTTCGACTCTTATGTGACAACAAAATTGCGTTTTTATTATGCCTTAAAATAATTTTGGATATTTGCTAATATTATTTGGCTTGGCTAATTTCGTTGTTTAATTTCGCCATAACAAAACATAATATCTAAGTCGGTCTTTTTACTCTATATAAAATACGCGTGTCCTTGCTCGAGTACCTAAGAATATTTTTGGTGCTGTTTTATTTAACGTAAGCTAGCATTTTTTTTTGTTATTATTAATAAAGGCTCGTAAACACTAGTAATCGTTTTTATAAATAATATCACAATAACCATCGTTATTACAGTTTTTACAAGTAATATTACATACATCCCAAAATTCATTCCGTTGTAACACTCCTGTTGTGTATACACTGTCATTCATCAAATAACTAATTTCGTTGTTTAATTTCGCCATAACAAAACATAATATCTAACTCGGTCTTTTTTACTCTATATAAAATACGCGTGTCCTTGCTCGAGTACCTAAGAATATTTTTGGTGCTGTTTTATTTAACGTAAGCTAGCATTTTTTTTTGTTATCAGTAATAAAGGCTCGTAAACACTAGTAATCGTTTTTATAAATAATATCACAATAACCATCATTATTTCAGTTTTTACAAGTAATATTACATACATCCCGAAATTCATTCTGTTGTAACACTCCTGTTGTGCGACACCATCGTTTCGAAACCTACAAACCTATGATAGAAGGTTCTTGACAGTTTAGTATGGCAACATCGCCTTCAAGTACTGGCCATAAAATTTCGAAAAGCCGCCATGTTGTTCCATGTCACTTGAGCATTTTGTTTGTATCGTCGCCGCTTGTCGTTAAAATTTTGTGAATTTAGTAGAGTACAATAATAATATATATAAAGAATTCTTTAAAATTGAATTATATAATACGCCCCTTAAAGATTTATAGTGAAAATCCCTGTAGTAGTGTTAGATTCATGGTTAAATTTATGAATTGTTGCAACTTTTAGGTTACGCTGTAAAGAATTTTTATTACATTGTGCGATTAGTGACACGAAATTGTGCGACGTGTCACAAGGGAATTTTTGTACAATTATTCTAATCTCATTAGGTATCTACTTATGTTATGACTCGAATTAGCGTCTAATATTTATATATTATTTTTACTTGACTGTGCCAGAGCCCAGAAGGAGGGTAATGTTTTTAGTTGGTATGTTTGTATGCCTGTGTCTATGTTCCCTCCTAGATGCTACATAAACATCATTGTTAGATACATCTTGGTTCCTCAAATGACACTCTTTTTTTACTTATGGTAAAAATATTTCAGTAGTTAATAATTTAGTATTTTAATAATAGTTAAATTTTTGCCAGATTTATTGTCGCATTATATTTTTTGCCTGTTTCACTTTTCGTGAGCCTCTTCAATTTTTTAAATGACTTCAAATAAGGAGGAGTTTATGTATTCGGCGTGTCTTTTTCTTCTGTGTATGTTACGTATACCGATTTCTCCGTAACTTGTTTTATTAAGTTTAAAATACCTACAATTTCAGTTTAGTTTTAGACGTTAGGAGTGATTTCATTTAAATAGTGAAAATCCTCGATTTCAACTGATTCTGATAGGTTTATGAAATCCATTTTCCCGATTCCTTTTGTAATGTTAGCTTCCTCAGTCAGCAGTTAGTGTTTTTTTATCTAGAACATGACCTTTTACAATTGAAAAAAAAACCACCTTCGTAAAATAAAAACAACTAAAAAGATCAAAACCAACAAAGAACTTATTTCAAAAAGTACCTAGTCGGTGGCATACGATTATAGATTGTACTGTAGTAACTGCCACCAACTGATTCTTTTTATTTTGATCTTATTGTTGTCTTTTTACAAGAGTTTAGATACATAATTTGATTAAGTTAATAGTAGCTACATTTTATTATTTATAATTGTTACTTTTCAGATGCCTTTATCATCCGCAGAAAGATGTCGCAAGTATCGCGAAAAACTAAAAAAAAAGACAATCCAAAGAAGTTTAAGAAATGAAAAAGAGAAATTTGGAAAGAACGAAAGCTAAAAAACGAAAAATAGGCGATATGAGCGAAAATGAAAAACAAGATGTGAGAAAACAATGGAGGGATTCTAAACGTAAAAAACTTGAAAAAGAAAATAAACCATTGGTAGTCGAAGCTGAAAGGGCACGTCGTCGCTATCGTAGCCAAGTAGGGCGAGAAAATAAAAAAACTAAAAGAAAAAGTAGAAATTCTGCGTCGAAAAAATGAGAATTTAAGAAAAATAACTTAATTTAATAACACGCTCAAGAAAAAAGGTACAAAGACTGACTACTGAGTTGGACAAGCTTAAATCACAAGAAAAATCGAGAAAAACTATTACAAACCAGTCACAATCAGTTGAAATAGAGGAGCTTCACTATCTAAATGAACTTACTCCTAAGACTAAATCTAACATTTTCATTGAGTAAGAACTTCCTGATATTTCAGAGGAAGCTAAAGAGAGAGTTAAGCAAAAACTTTTACAACAGCATGTTCTTGAAGAGTCCTTAAAAGAAACTTATAAACTTAGTAAATCATTGCAAGAAAGAAAAATGCTGAAAAAGCTTACAGAAAGTGAAACACGCATGAAATATTACATGAAAACAAACCTGGCAAAATGCTTAGGTATTAAGAGTAGTGTAAAAAGGTACTACAGCATCAAACAAAAGAGAATAAAAACAGCATGTGACTTGAAAAAAATCTTCGAAAGAGATGACGTAAGTCGTATGACTGCAGGAAAGAAAGAGTATGTGACTAAAAATAAAATACAAAAACAAAAACGATTTTTGCTTGATACGCTACTGAAATTGTATAAAAAATACCAAAATGAAGGCGGAACTGTATCCTTCACGACATTTAAACGCTACCGTCCATTTTATATAGTTCCGCCGAATTTAAGCAACCGCAATACGAGTACATGTGCTTGTATTAAACATTCTAATCTGACTTTTAAGACTGAAGCTTTAAAGAAATTAGGCTTAATAAAAACAACAGATCTAACTGATTTAGTTTCTTAGATAGTATGCGACGTAAAGTCAAAAAGTTGCATGAATTCGGAATGTGAACTGTGCCGTGATAAACAACTTGAAATTACTGTATCATGATATAGAAGTATCTTGGTATGAATTTATTAGTAAAACTCACGAATTTGAAAAGGACGGTGAAAAAAAAATAACGAAAAGAATGGTTAAATTACAACAAACCGGTTTACTTCATAATCTTACCGAATTGATACAACGAGACCTCAAAAAATTTAAAACTCATCATTATAACATTTACCACCAATATTTACAATATAAAAAATCAATTGAAAAAGTAGAAGATGACGAAGTTATACTTCACTGTGACTTTTCGGAGAATTACGTTTGTAAAATGGCTCAAGGAGTGCAGGCCATGCACTTTGGGTCATCAAAAACACAAGTCACGTTGTGTACTGGCCTAATATAAATAAAAAATGAGAAACAGTTATGTTGTTGTACCGTTTCTCCTTCACTCAAGCCAGTTATAGAGTTTGGTTTGATGGACCCACGACGCAATATCGTCAAAAATACAACTTTTTTCTTTTTTGTGAAATAACGCAGAATGAAGGATCCCATCAAGCGAACTGGTCCTTTTTTGAGGCGTCTCATGGGAAAGGTGCAGCCGATGGGGTTGGAGGTGTAGTTAAAAGAACCTTGGGTGCCAGAGTTGCCTATGATACAGATATTGTCGATTCAAGGTCCGTATTTGAGACATTAATACAATCAGAAATATCTGTCAAGACATTTTACGTTTCTAATCAAGACATAGAAAAAATTAAAATATCTAATCCCGAAAAAATTTTACCGATACCGTCCACAATGAAAATACACCAAGTCATCGTCACTGAAAATAAAAATACCGTTAAATACAGCGCTAAGCTGTGCTTCTGCATGCGAGGTAACTACGACTGATTTTCTACTAAAACTTACGTTCTTATAAAAGAAATCAATGAAAAACAACCAAGAGTTCGTAGAGATAGATTCAGGAAAAATATGATAAAAATAGATTCGTCTTCCAAAGATACGGATATGGAGATCGATTATGCCGAAAGCGATCAATCTGATTGGAATGAAGCTGGATATTTTGATGAAAATGATCCAGAAGAACAGGAAACCCGCAGAGAAAAAACAGAGAAAATAATGTTATCTGAAAAAATAATACATAATAAGACTGAATCAGAATTGAAAATCACTTAAGAAAAGAAAATGTAATATTAAAAACAAATACAGAAGAAGAAAAGGTGTTACAGATAGAATTAGATAGTGTCATGCAAAAAGGATCAGAAAGTAAAGGAAAAAAGAACGGACACAGTGAAATTAAAAAGATGGTAAAACTTTAATCACGATCTCCTTCCTAAAGACTGTAAAATCCCCAAAACTAAAATTCATTCTACCAAAAAAAGTTGATCTCGACATTATTACAAGCGATTCGATTGTTAAAAAATAACCTTATTTCAATAGTCTTCCTTGCAATAGTCTTTTATTTATTTTATAATAAATAAAAGACTATTGCAAGATTCCAAAGACTACTATTTGGTTGACGATTTTGACGAAGTTTATTTCGTTTAACTGTAATTTTTTTTAGTTTAAAACCAATATTATATAGAACAGTTGTGTTACCATGACGTCTTAAAGCAGTATTGTTTTAACGTCATTTCAGTGTTAGAAAGAGACAGAACTATACAGGATGTATAGCGTCATCTCTACTCCAAATTGAAATAAGATTAAAACAATATTGTTTTAAGATGTCATGGTAGGCCACCTGACTGATTAGTTTATTAGTAAGGGTTTTGTTGTTTATAACCCCCAATGCAAACATATAAGTTTAACGTGTGTATCTGCTTGTGGCATCTTTGCTCCAAAACGGATGAACCGATATTGATTTTTTTTGTTTAAAAGGCGACTTGATCGAGTGTTCTTAGCTATGATTCAAAAAAATCTGTTCAGCCGTTTAAAGATAAAGTTTGAGGTCTTTTATAGTTTTACTTTTTAAGGGATCGTTTTATGTCGTGGGTATGTTAAAATTTTAAATTAAAATGTTGTGACATTCATAATGTAAAATCTAAACTAAAAAACTTATTTTGTACTGAGGTTCGGCTTCGCCGGGAGCACACATACAAGCAATTACGTCGTATTATCAGTTAATCACTACTACAAACCCGATTCGCTGTGTTGACAGACGAATTTTAATACATATTTATTTGTAAATAGCGTGCAATTTGGCATTTTCTAAATAATTTGCATGCGAAATTTGGAAACGATTGTAACGTCAAAACACATTTCGTGTTGACATTTATACGTGTGAATTGACGTCTTATGGCATTTTAGTAGCTACACGAGCTCCGCCCACACCCCCGTTCTATTATATATGTATTATAGTATTCTATGGTGCTCCCTAGTTGGAGATGCAATACCAGAGCTTAAATTTTAAGTAAGATTACAGTTACTTAAAAAAAATTTAACTATCTTTCGCAGTTATGTAGGTACCCATATAATTAGGTATAGATATTTAAGTCTAATGACCATATATTTTTGATGACATTCATTAGTTTTGAAACACAAAAAAAATCGTAACATACACACGTATTACTTAGGTACCTACATATGTAACTGCCAAAGCTAGTTCTTTTGATCGCTTTAAAATAAATTTAATCTTACTTCAGCTTGCACAGTCCACCCTTGCTTTCAAAAATAGATGAAACAAATGAAACTCATCTTGTGTTCCCAAATGGTTTTTTTATTGTTACTACTTTTCAGCTTTTCGGTAATCTGAAAGTATTTTAACCGTATTTATTATCTTTATTATGTATTTAAAAGTGCTGTTAAAAGTTTTATATTAAAGATTGATCTATACGGGTTTGTAATACAAAGAATTTTAATTTCATGTATTATGATTATATTATTATTATGAAATAAACCATATTATTAAAAAATATTCGTTTACAACGAGGTCCAGCACTAGATTTAATTCAGGGTAAAACTAAAGCGGGACCACGTACTGTACCTACACTGTAGACACTTTCATTCATTAGAATCAGGGTGATTAATATTGTTAAAACCAATGTTTTCTTATGAATATATTATCTGTCCAAACGCTAAATTCTGGCGTGTCAAATAATATGCGCATCTGTCAAACGCCATAATCTGGCGTCGTTCTACCGCGAAGCTTTAAAGATCAATGTATATCGGTTCTACTCATCCTATCTCTCTCTCTAACTTTACTGTAATCAAGAGAATAGAACAAGGGTGCAATATTTGATTGAATAATGTGGACTTGAACCACGAAGATTGAATTGTAAAAATCCCAATTTTTTGTCCCGATTTCGAGTAGAGCTAAGTGAGACCCATTGTTGTCGACCTTGTCGTGAACAAAAAATGTATGAAGAAGTGTGTTAAATATGCTTTTGACGTACAAGTAAAACAAATAGTTACTTGGAATAAAGGCTTTTATTTATAATTATTACACCTTTGCAGAAAATTGGGAAAAAACACTTTTCTCACTTTCACTTTCGAATTTGAATCACTTTCGAAGTAAACCTGTATTTAAGTTATACATAATCTGATAGCTTATTTAATAAATTTTCTATTGATAAATGATTTTAATATACCTTTCATACAAAATGTCTTGGAAATAGTCATTTTAATGAACAGCAGGGAGTAGTCTGGAAGTACTTCCGGAAGTTCCTGACAGAGGCGCCATTTTGGCCAAAATGGCCACGACATTTGACATTCCTATTAAAATAAATATCACTATTCTTCTAAATTTGCTTCCATGAATCGTTTTTACAGCTTGTTAATGCATATTTCATCATGGTAAACCGATTCGCTGTCCCGTGTACTACATACAGTTTATTGCTATTTTCTTAATACTGTGTCTGTTAATCGGACAATTAAATTCACGTAAATACGGACAAAAGAATCAATCAGCATGCGTGTTCTTTCGTGGCTAATATCGTCGCCCTTCCAATTTCATGACTGTTCATTCCCGTGGTTACTGTAAATACTCGTTAACACGCGCTTTATAGCTTGATTATGTAAGATTATTATCACTAAGTTAATGAAAAATCAACAAACTAAAATAAATCGGTCTTTTTTATAGGAAAGGTAGTCTAATTTGATCCGATACTCGGTGAACGAGGACCGTTTCTCGTTGTCGTTGCGCATTGGTCTCATGTTTGCTATAGTTGGCACGCTTGGCAGTATGGATAGTAACTGCAAATGGTTACATCTTTATGGGTTATTAGGAGGAGGCTTTTACACATCTCCTGATTATTCATACATTGCCGCTATATGGTTTAGCAGAGTAAAAATAGAATTTTCTGTCTACTTAATCCAATTAATAGATAGAAAGGTCCTGCTGGTCTCATCTAAAGAAAGCATTAAAGTTTTAAGAGGAGCAATATTATTTAAATAGAAAACCGACAAAAATTGGAAGTTAAGTAGATAAAAGAAAGATGATTCTTAAAAATTCTTAGATCATTAAGAATTTTTCTAGCCAGTAAAGATTAATGTGAATATGCCGGCGTTTGTCTGTTGCTAATACATAGATCCATATTACATCCATTCCAAAGAATTTGAAAGCTGTTACACAAAATTATTTATAAAATTTTATCTATCTTAACCTCATTATAATCTACAAATTATGTAATTTTTGTATTCTATGTAGTAGTAAAAAGCGTAACCAAATACTCTATGCTAACTGACAATCAGTATTTTCATCTATGCTCCTTATGAAGAATTGAGCATCCAGCAAGTGTCGTTAGTTTATTTACAAATAATATTAGAAAAATATCTAAGTATTTTCTATGAAACCAATGTTTTATCAAAGAATATAAGGCGTTCGCAAAATTGTTCTTTAATTTAGAGAACAAGAAGATCACAGTATAATGTCACCTAAGAAAAGTATTCTTGTTATACCAAGCAGAGTTATTAGTAGACCAGATAATCTAGAAGGTGGGGAAGAAACGGAAATCACTGCTCAGATATCTGTTCCACAAGAAGGTGGATGGGGATGGGTTGTTGTAGCTGCATCTTTTATGAGTATTTTTATACTTGATGGGGTATCATTTACATTTGGAAGCTTTCTTAAAGACATGAGTGACGATTTAAATGTAACAGAATCTTTAGTTGCGCTTCTAAATTCTATAGCAGTTGCTTTGTATTTTATCGCTGGTCCATTGGCTTCAGCTTACATTAATCGTTTTGGATTTAGAGCATGTGTAATGTCGGGATCAGTTATTTGCTGCTTTTCTCTCTTTGCATCGTATTTTACGACTGATTACGTAACACTATGTCTGTTCTATGGTGCAATAGCTGGATGTGGTTATTGCATGATTAATTTATCTTCAGGATTAATTGTAGGTTTTTATTTCGAAAAACTTCGACCAATTGCCATGGCAATAGCAACGGCTGGATCCAGTATTGGCGTTATGTCAATGTTTCCTTTAAATACATATTTAATTAATTTATCTGGATGGCGTAATACAACATTGTTTCATTCTGGTCTATTTGGGTTAGTTTATTTTATTGGTATGACATTCCGCCCATTACTTTCCTTAACCGTCATTAAAACTACGGATGACCCAACTCGCACTGTTACCTACTTGCCAAATTTATCTGCTGCAGGCCTTCGCTTGACTGCTTCAAGTACTAAACAGGATAATTTAGTACCAACGACTACGGAACGTCTTTTTAGTGCTGTTTCAAATTATAATTTTCCAACTGCAGCTGCTATAGTTGAGGAAGGTTCAACTTCGGGTGCTCAACCAGGTCCTTCTACTGCAGCAATGTCGAAACTTACTTTAATGGCTAATGGTCCTCAAAGCGGTATAAATCGTCAACAGCTAAAACAAATACAAGATATGATATCTAAAAGTAATGTAATTGACCAATATCATGGTAACGTAAATGTTTCTGAGAATACAGTATCACCAAAAAAGAGAAACTTCTGGGGACGTTTATTTCATTGGGAAGAGCATATACCAGAATCTCGCCCTATGTATCGGGATGATGCATTTTATGACGGCAAGCTAGAAAAATTACCTGCATATCAAAAAAGTATGATGGAAACTGCAACAGACCCAAAAACTGGGTTAGAATACCAATTAGCTGTATCAAGAGCAGCAACAACAGCTGATATGCAAGAGAAGCGAGGTGTTTTTACAACCGCAGCAAGAAGGGTTTTGGCGACTATGATGGATCCTAATTTATTAAAACAAAAATCATTTTTGTTACTTTGTTCATCTGCGTTTTTAATATACTTAGGTTTTCTAGTACCTTATGTTTTTATACAAAATCGCAACCTAGATGCTGGTGTAGATCCATATCATTGCACGTTATTTGTAAGTGCAATTGGATTTTCAAATGCAATAGGTAGAATTGTAATTGGTGCAATGGCTTGTAAAATAGATCCTTTGCTTATATATGCAGGAACATGTATAGTAGCAGGTTTAAGTACAATGGCATCAGACTTATCATACAATTTATACTATCAATATTTTTACTGCACTGTGTTTGGTTTTTGTGTTTCTAGTATTGCTTGTCTTAGAAGTATGGTATTAGTATCACTCTATGGACTAGAAAAGCTCACTAATGCTACTGGGATGATTTTATTATTCCATGGTTTAGGAAGTTTAGTGAGCACGCCTGTTGCAAGCGTAATTAAAAATAAATATGGATACCCTATAGCTTTTTATGCTGCTGGTTTTTTTATAGCTTTGGGAGGATTTGTTTTATTACCTATTAAATGTATACTAACAAAAAAGAGTAAATCAATAGATAATCGAAAGCAAACGGATAATAAATGAGTATCTTTTTGATTTTAAAATGTAAAATAAGAGAAATATACGCAGCAAAATTTCTGAATTCGTATGCAAAATTTAAGTGTTCATCGAAACGAGGATATTAAGTAGTTATTATTCTTCATTATGGACCTTAGCAAATTTATCTTTTTACTATTAATATGCAACATTACTTTTAGTGAAGGCGCGACATCTGTTTTATCATTTTATCGTACTAAATAAAGACATTTATTATTTATTTACTTAGTATTAAATAAATATAAATGAAATTGAATTGATTAGAGTAAAATACCTTTTTCATTATCAGCTTTTTGTTATCCAATCCGAAAAAAGAGTAATGCCTGGTAGAGCCATGCTGCAGCTATATTATGGTTGTAGCACGAAAGGATCGGCTCGACCGGGGAAGGACTACGCTCTCACATGTACCAGTGTAAAATAGCAGTTCTATGCCACTCTGTTTCGTATTGTGAGTGTAGAGAACCGGAAACCCTTTTTACGGGAAACGAGGCATTCCGTCTTAGTCTTCAGGAGTGGCAACGCATTTGACGACGATTCCTAATGGAGGATAAATGTAGATGTCTATGGGCCACAGCCTAAACTTAACATCAGGTGTGCTCCATTGTCACCCTTATTCTATAAAAAAAGACTGTAAGATTTTCCCGTAATCAACAAGGCTAGGCTTGCAGATTATACATTTTGAAATACACTGAACCCAATCCAAAAAAAGATGGGACCGTTTATCATCTTTCCTTTTTCAGCATAAGAATATTATTCTGCGCCCTGTTGTTGTTCAATTATTGAATGAATAAAATGTTGCTATTGGAAACATTTTATTCCTTCAATAATTCATTACAACCAATTAAAGTTCACTGCTGAATATAGGGGAATTTCGCCATAGCTGCCAAGCTTGGATAATAGGTTGGCAATTGCTGTTTTTATTATTTTTAGTTCTTTTGGTTAAGATGCTACTGCCTATTTTTTGTTTAAGTTTCCGTCTGACGACTCTATTTACACCCACGGTATGGCAAGACTTCTATACAAGAAAGTAAAAAGGGGATTTGTATTAAACTCTACAATTAATCTTAGTAGGCGGTAATATTCCTTTTATGCCTAATATTCAGTCTGGGTGGGTATTATCCTTTTACTTATTTCTGGCGCCTTGTTGTTTTGCATGCACTGCTGTGCTCTGGTCCGAATTGCATTATCTGGTCCGAGGCATTCCGTCTTGTTCTTCAAAAGTGACATCCCACCGGTAGTCAAAGATTATTAAATATATAGGTATTTAAGATTTCATTGTTTGAATTCGGTAGCAGGTGATCTTTCGGTAGAGAGTAATTGTGTTCTGTGCAGGTGACCATGAGCTGTAAGTATGTATGTCAAAGTCAATTTTTTATTACATTTCTACTTACAACAGTTACAACTTACAGCATAGTGAAAAACGTCAAAATATACGCTGGTTCGGAAATTTACATTAAAGAACGCTAAATAACTTTTTTCTAAATTTAATAACTTTTTTTTAAATTAACTATAGGGTCTTTTTTTAAGTGCCACGTTAGAATAAATTAATTTAAAAAATTGGAAGTACTTTTTAAATGTCAATCAAATCAATTATAGGGGAGGGGAAGAGAGAAGATTTAAAGTTATTTCCACACATCATTGTCCTCTATTTCATAACTATTGCGAAGTGATTATTGTCCCAGAAGTAGACGTCAATCCGGAATTGAGTGATAGGTCAAGTCGTAATAGAAAAATATAAAAAAATCTTTGCCATGTATTTTTAAATAACAGGCATTTATAAAAAAAATCGAGAAAATCTACACCCTGTGACGGTCTTTTATAATTCCTGTTGCTACAAATGTTAACTTATTTTAATTTTCTTTTTACTGTGTAATCCTGTATAATGAAACAAATGCTCCAGTCCAGAAGGAAATGTAATATTTTTCCCCACCATGTACTCAAAATTAATACTTTGCCCAGTTTTAAATGACTATACTGAAAAAAATATATTACACGAGTTTGGCAAGGCTTCCAAAATGGTATAACCACTGACCTCTATATACAAGTACGCTGGACTGGCTATACCATACAAAACACACTATTGGTCGTCTTGAGAACAAATATTGACATAATATGCCAAAGTCTGTTGAGTTATTTAAATTGTCTTATTTAAAAAATCTGCGTTTTGAATTGAATTTTATGTTGTTTGATTGTGGATAATTTTAGTTACATGATAAGAATTATTTTTAATAATAATGAGAGTGTTCGTAATCTGTAAAATTCGTTACCAAAAGGAAAGTGGTATAAAATTCCACAAGTGAATTTGCAGCTAATATTAAACAAATTAAAACTATTTGATAATATAGGTACTTAAAAATTTGTTACTAATCTTAATATCATAATTACCAACATTTTTGGCTGTGTATTTCTGAGTTTCGATAAACAATAAAATTCAATGGGGTTGTCGAGTTCCTTGTCTATAATATTTATCGATGTACTTTCCTAACCATATCTATTAACAAACAAAGTCGCTAACAACAGATAATTATCAAATGTTTATTAATTAACAGGGAACCTAGACTAAAATCATGGCTTAAAAGCATAAATATTGTGAATTGGCGTCCGAAACAAAATGATCGATCATCTTTGTTTTAAACATTTCACAGATGTCTGTTTTATTAGACATGAGAACAGCACCACTTTGAAAAAGTGCAGTTTACCGACAATATTTTCTGGTACTACCAGTACCAGTAAGTACAAAAGTATTTGATTATTATTTCGAACTAGCTGTTACTCGCGGCTTCGCCCGCATGGTCACTGGGAAATGAACTATCCATTGCTTTTTGAATTGAAAGAAAACTGAGTTTTATAGATTTGTCAGAGATGCAGCCATTAAAAGGAAACTGAGCAAAATTGATTCGTCAGCCTATTTAAATGTTTTGAAACGCAGCGTATAGGAAAGCATGAAAATAGCCTGTTTATTCCAAATGGAAATGGGATATTTTTTTAATTAAAGGAAACTGAGCATAATTATCCGTCACGGATGCAGACTTTTGAAAAGAAACTGAGCTAAATTGATTCGTCAGAGATGCAGTTTTCTGAATTGAAAGGAAACTGAGCCAAATAAAAGATCCGTCAGAGATGCAGCCTTTTGAGTTGAAAGGAAACTGAGCTTAATAGGTCCGTCAGAGGTGCAGCATTTGGAATTGAAAAGAAACTGAGCTAAATAGGAAATTTTGAATTGAAAGGGAAGATCTGTGGGAATTCTGATTAATTGATTGTGGGAATTTTGGATAAAAAAACTAACTAACACTATTTTAAGACGCTACTGTACACAATGTTATATGTTTTTCCATTCCGGGAAAGAATGTGGAGATTCTGGGCATTTGACACACGCGAACATGCTACATACAGCTGACCATGAGAGAAGCACGGTTTTTCTAAGTTGACCCCCGCTACCTGTAACGTTTGCCCTTGCGCTTTATTAATTGTCATTGCAAAATTGAGCTTAATAGGGAATTGCAACCTTTTGAATTGAAAAGGAAGATCTGTGGGAGTTATAGGGATCCGTGGTATAATAACATTTTCACCTTTTCCTACGCCTATCAAAATTGTAGCACCGATTATGTTCCGTCCAAGATGTGTCACACGCAGCCTTGTCCCGTTAAATAACCGAAGAGCATTTAAATTTCGCATTAGCATGACTGGGATGCCTAATTTTAATTGAAGCTTATGTGAGGGCACACCTGACAACTCTAGAGAATTTAGAAACTCTACGGGATATGAAGTGCTCGGTTCTGTGTCCATAACACTCTGTCCGTCTACTGACAAATACTGTGTTATTTCTCCTGCTACTTCGCTTAATATATCTGAATTTATTTTGTTAACGCTCTCTTTTTTTGGTGCAAGAATCGCCCTTTCACATAACCATTTGTCTTCATGCATGTTGTTCGTTAAATCTGAATAAACGCTCGCAATTAATTCGGAATGGCTCTGTACTAAATTACAAAAATCTCTCGTCAATTTAACGCAGCCCTTAGCATCCGTTTCCAACCGCCCATCGCCAATTTTTAATAGTGTGTATAATACAAATGCACTCTCACATTCGTAGTTAAACTGAATTTTGTCACCTTGTTCCATAAAATAGACGACTTGAGGCATGCTTTAATTTCATCTGCAGGTGTGCCCTTTTGAATGACAGGTAAAGTTTGGCGAAAGTCATCAGCCAGTAAAACGACCATTTCTCCCATTACATCGGTATTGCTGCGCAAATCCTGGAGCGTTCAATTTAGTGCTTCTACAGCTTTTTTATGCGACATTGTACTTTCGTCCCACACTAAAAGTTTGCATTGTCGTAGCATTATACCTCGTGCACTAGTTTTGCTAAAGTTGCAGATCGGCGATTCTTCCTGTGCTAGATTTAGAGGGAGTTTTAAAACAGAATGTGCAGTTCGGCCTCCGCTTAGCAGCGTAGCGGCTTTACCGGAGGAAGCTACGGCCACAGCAATGTTTTTATTTTTCCGTACTTGCGCTAATAATAAATTTAACAAAAAAGTCTTCCCAGTTCCTCCAGGGGCATCTAAAAAGAAAAGTGCACCATTTCCAGATTCAATTTGTCCTAATACTTTGTCAAAAACTCATTTTTGTTCGGGAAGCAAGCGGGGTACAAATTCGGATACTTGCTGCTGCAAAGCTGGTATATCGTAGTTTGTTTCACGTATAATTTCATCACTTAGTTCATTTTCGGTTGTTCACTGAGGGCTTATCATTCCAAAGTCGCTTAATTTTTTGCCTACCATTGCCATTACTTTTTCTTCAATTTTTCCAAGTGTTTCATTATAAATGTGTTCGTGTATGTAATGTTCGCGTGTGTCTGCTGTAACCTTCGCAAAATATCTTCCGCCATGTACTCTTTATATTTGTCCCACAATTCATGTGCATTAGATAGCCCGCAAGATGATATATATGAGAGTTGCATAAAGATCCCTAATTTTGGCTGGTGACTGGCA